ATTTATTTATTTTTTGCTGCATTTTTGTGTCAAGTCTTGGTTAATATAGCATCAGTAAAATGTCAAAGCAGGAAATTCCACATAATGGTATCACTCACTGCTGCCACCATCAGGCTGAATGGAGAACTGCTTGTTCCAGTATTGAATTGAATCCCAGGGGGAACAACAAATAACCTGGTAGGGGTGCGTCCCAATGGCCCCCATGGCGATCCATCTAGAAACAACCCTGAGTTAAAGAGAGGCAGTGATGGTTGCAGATTACAACTCTAAAAAAAAGGGAAATGTTACATTTGTGTGTGTCTGTTTTACTAAATCAGGTTCCTGGAGCATTTCATCCTGAAAGGCGACGATCCCAAAGCTTTGGATGCAGTTGTGGCTCAGTTGAATGACCCCAACAGGGCCAACCCTCAGGATCTGGACAGGGCTGTCATTGGTAAGCCTTTTCTTGCTCTTCATCTCCTGCAGTAATCTGCTCATATAAGTCCCAGGGCTTTGAATGTAACAATCATTAGGCGTTTATTTATTTTATTTTATTTATTTTACCGTAGACATTGAAAACTTGGAAACTGCGAGTTTTAACGTATAGGTTTAGGGGGATAAACAAAAAAGTGGAGGAATGAGATCTTGATTAGGAAACACAGACATTAGCATCAAGTGAAATGAGCCAGAACCTCAATCCAATCAAGACAACTCCTTAAATTTAATTCCACCGAGCAAAGGTGGTGTTAATAATAAGCCATCCTTCAGCTAGAAGCCTTTCCTATAGGTTTCCTGCATGTTGATGTTTATTCAGCGGGAAGTGATATCCCCCAGCCTTTAGACGAGAGCAGACGGAAAAAATCAAACAGAACAGAAGTCATCTTTAAGTAAAATCTAAAATTTCCCTGTTAGGATAAGAATTAACCACTGTTTTTATTTCTCTCTGTCTCAACTGAAGCCCATATCAGCCAAGTGAAGGAGAACTTAGCCAAAGCGTCCCATCAGCTCATACCTGCTGTGTTCACCAACACATGAGGTAAGCCAGTAGAAAGCAGCAGGACTCAGGTCTGTTGACTTGGCATCGCCTGAACCTCCTTCCTAAAGGAGATCCGTCATTAGGCCCTTCTGCCTTTGATCTGTAATGGTCTCCCCTCCTCCTCCTTTTTTATTTTGTCCTTCCTGCTGAGTTGACTGTCTCAGGGTTTTTAGCAAAGCTTTTAAAGTTCTCCTTGCTAGAGTTGTTTCACATCCCTACTAATGGCATCTAAAGAGCACAGCAAATGATAGTGTTTTGCAGATAATTAAAAACTTCCTTGTGTCTGTCTGTGTCCAGCTTTGCCCGGTGCATTCCAGGGAGCGCTGCATGCAGTCCTGACTCTCAGTCAGCTTGATGAAGCAGTAAGGGACACCATGCGCCGAGGGGGATGCACCGCCAGCAGAGCCTCATTCATTGGAGCCTGTTTCGGGGCACAGGTAAAGTACACTGGAAAAATAATCCAGGAATAAGTAAAGACTTCTTAAATTAAGTGTATTTACCCTTAATCTGAATAGGTAAATGAGACTGTTTGCCAATGGAATGAGTATTTTTACTCTTAAAATAAGATAATTAGATAATATGCAATTTTTTTCTTATTTTATTTTAATAAATTGTCTTGTTCCATTAGAAAAATGTCTCTTTTACGTCCTCAATCCAAGGACAAATACATCTGTTTTAAGAAAAAATTACTTAGATTTAGATTTTTCCAGTTTAAGAATTAGTGAGTCAGTCAGATCTTTCGTATGATTATTAATACTACATTATTATTAAAAGGAGAACGGGAAAAAGCTGTATGTTGTAGCTTTACTTGACTCCCATATTGTGCAGCATTTTAATGCTAAGAATCAATAAAAAGCCTGAGAATGAATCAATATAATTTCAAATTATCTGTCGCAATTTATTTGCAGACCGGAATCCAGGGAATTCCTGAATCGTGGAGGAAGAGGACGTTCAGATACCCTCTGCTGTTAGAGCTGGCTAAAAATGTGGTCAGCAAACAGCAGCAATTCTAGATTAACATCCCATAAGCCCCTAATTTGTGGGACGAAATTAGCAAATTTCATTGATACTATTAATTTCAACCCATACTAATTTGACATTTTCTAACAAAGGCAGACATTCCCGTCTTACAGATATGCTTTGACATAGCAATTCATGACAGTTGCATTTTAAAGTACCCTGCTGAGTGTAACTTGAAAATATTTGTTTTGTCAAAGCTTCATTTTGTAATAAAAAAGGGGAATAAAAAAATGTGTGTAACGTGTGTAAATGTGTGTAAAATGTGTGCTCTGAATAAAAACTTGAACAACCATATCTGTATTGGTCTGTTATCGTCTTTGCAGCTTAATCTTAGGGAGTAAGTCTGATGGAAAAGCCATCTGCTGCAGTCAAGCTTCAGCAGCATTTCTATTTTCTCATCCCTTATGGGTACTTTCTGTTATTTTGAAGTGAAACAGAAGCATCGGACAGATTTACTTCTGGAACCGGCGGAGATTGCAACCTACTCCTCTCCTCTTTGCCTTTATGAAAGTGCTGACTTCTATATTCACATGTTTAAAGCATCCACCCCAACACTCCTGAAAGTTAGCCAAGTACGAGGCAATGCCAGAGACTTTATGTCTTTAACATGGCATGGGTATAAGAATGTGTGTAGGCCATCTTTTCCAGCCCACTTGTAGAGAAATGATAGATATCAAGTAGTTTAATGTTTAAACTCGGAAATGTTTAATGGTTTATGTTGCTTTATTGAAATGCGAGCTGTATTTAATGAAAATGATGGGTGCTTTGCATAACTGGGGGGACATGATTTTAGCTGTAGCTGTGTAGGTCAACTCTGCATAACTGCAGCTATAGTTTGGATTTGGTTGCTATTATTCAGAAACGTTAAAAAAATTGTAACCAATAGGAGCTTTTCTCTTTGTCCTGTCTTCAGTCAGCAGAAAGCATACTCCTTCTGTTATGGTTATATCCAGACATAAAAAGTATTTCTGTTTGTTTGTATTTTTTCCCACAAAACCTGTCAAATTCTATTTCCTTTTCATAGCTTAACATGAGATAGCCTGTTTAATGTTTTCTTTTTAATTATGCATTCATTCCCACTTAAAAAAAAGAAAAAAGAAAATACAGCCCCTATATACTATTACATTTGTAAAACAGATGAGCATTTCTTCTGATCTTTCTGTTGTTATGCATAGAGGTATTTTTGTATTTTGTGTTTGTATTTATTGCAGATCCCCATTAGCTACAGCAAGATGCTGCTGCTATTCTTCCTCTGCTCCATACAAAGACTCATACAAGACATGAAAGAAAATTACACGTGTGGTGTGATACAAAAATGTATAAAATACATTTTAAGATGTATATATATATAAAGAAATATAGCATGCTACACTGGTCAATGTTTTTTGAATAATCAACTAGCTGACCTTGAGATTGATCAATAAGCAATCTTATTCATAATAGTATATGTCTGCTGCATAATATATAATGTATGTCTGCTGCAATGTTTCTGACACATAAAAGTAATGAGTATCGAAGACTGTCTTTAACACGTAACCAGTTTGATTGTTTATGCATGGATTTTACATTAGTTATGTAATTACATCTTTTTTTTGTTGTTGTTGTTGTAATGGACAGTTAAAAAAATACAAACAGTACAATAATCCTTGGACCGCTCATCTCGACAGAATTGGTTTTGTTTAAATTGAACTTTTTCAAACCAGAACAGCCTCCCTATATGGTCAGGCAGCAAATTTGATTAAGTAAATGCCAAAAGCGGATGCATTATTTTTTTTCAGTGTGAGAAATAAAATATGTTCATGTACACCTTGGAATGCACTTGCGGACCACTAGGGGCACAAGTATCACCTGTTGGGAATCAAGGTTTAAAGTAACCATAGGCTTGTTTAGTTCCATTGCAGTCTGATTCAACCTCCACAAGTCTTTGGCTAAATTTTTCATCCCTGCATACAATTAATCAAACTGTGTGCAATACAGTCATTTGGAAACTAGTGTGTGCAATTTCTATGGAGTAATAACTAGATGATTTAATTGTTATGACACACTTGTCCACTAGTCTACACTGGTTGACCAATAATTCAAAGCTCCACTAGGTGGTGCCCTCACTATACTGCTACAAAACATGGAATTAAAACGTTTAACTAAGGCGATTTAGCCGCAAGGAGAAAAAAGAAACTTAAAGGACATTTATTATTTACAACACAGCTTGTCATACAAATGAGGCAAGCGTTAAACCTCAGACCAAGAAATATATATAATCTCAGAATTTAGACCTTTGTCCTCAGAATTCTGACTTAATCTCAAAATTCAGACTTTTTTCTCAGAATTCTGACTTTTTTCCTCATAATTCTGACTTTAATCTCAGAATTCTGACTTTTTTCCATACAATTCTGACTTTAATTTCTGAATTCTGACTTCTTTCTCAGAATTCTGACTATTTTCCTCATAATTCTGACTTTAATCTCAGAATTCTGACTTTTTTTACTTATAATGCTGACTTTAATCTCAGAATTCTGACTTTTTTACTTATAATGCTGACTTTAATCTCAGAATTCTGACCTTTTTCTCAGAATTCTGACTTTTTTCCCCATATTAAACTAAAATGAAATGTAAAAATCAGTTCACTTGCACTTTCAAAAAATCAGTGGCCATTATCCTCTTTCGTAGTACTATACAGTTACATCACTTTTTTAAATTTATTATATTATATATTATGTATTATATAATGTTTTTATCACTGCTGCTTACCTGCACATAAAAAATTAAAACGTCGAGAGAGAGCTGTACTTAATGAAATGTCTTTTTGTTTACACTTGTGTGTACAAAATTACTAAATAAAATTTGTCTAAATCGTCTTATTTTCTATATGTACTGTAGCGTCTCTTTGCGAACGCGTTTGCGCATGCGCGACTCGTTGCTCGGTAACAAGGGGCGGAAGCAGGGAACTATCTTTGGCCTGTCTGATCTTTGTCACTTTCAACAGCTGGGTGGAACTCTGACAAAAAAAAATTGCTTCAATGACATTTTGTGTAGGGATGGCAGCCTGAGCGCCAGATTAAACCGCCGCAGTGTCAGGAGTGGATTTTCTCTTCTGGACCATGGATTTTAACGTTAAACGTTTAGCGGCAGACGCCGGTACTTTTCTGAGTCGTGCAGTACAAGTAAGTAAAACTGTTGGAACGAAGGTGGAAGTCGTTGCTAGCGAACTTAGCTGCTAGCATATCCAGTTAGCTCAGTTGTGGGGTTTTAACTGTCACTGCTGCTCTTAGCGTGCAGCTAAGTAGCCTGTTATCACCCGAGGGAAAGCCTCTTTGCTCTTAACACTTCTTTCTACTTTTAGTTTAGTTATTTATTTTATTTCATTTTTTTATTACGTGGTCTTCGTTTCCATATAGCCACCGACGCAGGCCTCGGAAACCATCAAACAGCTGTGAAAGATGTAGCTGAGCGGATAGCAACTTGACTCCTCGGTGTTTCTTTGTTTAAATCGATCCTGTTCAGCAAAATGAGCGAAAAGAAACGTTTGTTTTTGGTTGTCAGTTTACAGAAGAGAAGCTTGGACAGGCTGAGAAAACTGAGCTGGATGCCCACTTGGAGAACCTGCTGGTCAGAGCTGAGAACACCAAGCAATGGACAGAGAAGATCATGAAGCAGACAGAGGTTTTACTACAGCCTAATCCAAGTAAGAGGGCAAAAATAACAATAAGCGCGAATGTATGAATTTAAAAACACTGATATTATTTTTTAAATTGGTTTTTGTTTTTTAAAATTACTTCTTATTTAGGTTTGGATTGCATGTTTGACTTGGGAAGAACTTTTGAGAATGGAGAGACCTTTTTACTTTTGATGCATTTCATGAATTGAATGACCCGCCAATGCATGCCAAAATGTCCAGTTTATTTCACTGTTGTCAGTTTGTTTAGATCTACATCCCTAGGAGGCTGTTTTCTGGGCCCCATCGTTTGATGGGGCGTCTGCAGAGTGTGTGAGCTCAGCTGTGCATCCTCTGCAGCTCGCACCATGATGCCATACCTCTGCAGCCCAATTACAGCATCGGCACAACAAACACCCAGACCATCTGCTGGTTTACTCCCTTGTGCAACAGTCCCCCATGTCTGCTCTACTACATTTTCTGTTTCAATGTTAAACACACCACAGATGAGCTTACTGTGATTGTTGCCGTTCTTTCGCGTGATGTTGTAACTTTAAACACATCTAATTAGAACCAGCAGAGGAATATTTCTGTTTATCTTGTCGAGGTTAACATTAACAGAGCGTTCTTTGGAGATAACTGAAGTCAGGCTGAAGTCAGCCCAGTGATGTCTCATGACTTTGTAATCGAGTTATCCGGTTGTGATCCCTTAGATGCAAGACTGGAAGAATTTGTGTACGAGAAGCTGGAGAAAAAAGCCCCCACACGCATGAACAACCATGACCTGCTGGGTCAGTCCATGATGGATGCAGGAAGCGACTTTGGTCCTGGGACTGCTTACGGTGAGGAAGTCTAACACTGGGAAAACTTAAACATTATACCTGATTTATAACATTTTACTTTAGTTATTTTACTGATTTATGTGTTGGGATGAAGAAAAAAAAAAAGTTACTGACGAATTGGTTGGATTTCTGAACCCATTAGGCTCAGATGCCACTTAGCAAACATCAGGTCTCCCCCTACAATTTTGCTTTGTTTTTACAACAAATAAAAGGCCTGGAAGCTTCTCAGATTGGATTAAGGTTTAGTCTGATGGTGGGAAAGCAAAAAAGAAAAATGGTTCCTTTGCATTTCCTTTGGTCTGAACTCTAAAATCAAGCAGAGGTGAACTCTGGCAGTTCTGACAGTTTCTGGTTTTTGTGAAGTTCTGACCTTCTGACTCTTTCTCTTTAAGCCGCAAAATATAAAACCATTCAAATAAATTTTTTTCCCCAAGACTTCCTGCCTGAAGTAACCATTTTATATTTAAAGGAGAATTCCGGTTTTTAACACTTTTAGCCCATTTTCTGTAGTGTCCAGGATGAAATTGAATGATCGACACCAAAATTTTGACAATTGGTCCTGTCTCTGCTTTTTGGCTCATGCAGAATCCCCCCCTGGCTGCTTCAGAATGGCTTCCATAGTGCATGTCCGATAATGTCCTTAAAACAACCTTAAACGTTCTTTTTTTAAAATATGCTACTCACCGGGTCGTCAGCGCTGTTCAATGACGTTCCAAAAAAAGTTTCGTAAAGAAAAAACGTTCCTGTAGTGTTTTATTTAGCATTTTGTAAATCCCATTGAGTTCTGTTGGAATAGTCAATATCCCTCCGCCACCGGAAACGGAAATAGGGCCTGTTTACGCTTAGTTGTAGTCTTTTCGCAAGGCCCAAGTGTTTCTGCTTCACTCTGTGTACTCCGACGTCGAGGTGCTAACGTCTCTGTTAAACACTTTAAAAAACTCTGAAAATGGAATAGGAAAGGTGGATTCTTGAGGAGGACATATTGGACTTTGAGTTTGACGGTAGAGGATACCGTCGCCAACTAGTGGTCTGGAGTGTGCAACGCTTCAGATTCGAACCGGAAGCGGAAGTTTATAAGCGGTTGTGATGTATCGGAAAAAATAGTTCTGGGATTTACAAAATGCTAAATAAAACAAGACAGGAACGGTTTTTCTTCACGAAACTTTTTTTGGAACGTCATTGAACAGCGCTGACGACCCGGTGAGTAGCATACTTTAAAAAAAGGACGTTTAAGGTTGTTTTAAGGACATTATCGGACATGCACTATGGAAGCCATTCTGAAGCAGCCAGGGGGGGATTCTGCATGAGCCAAAAAGCAGAGACAGGACCAATTGTCAAAATTTTGGTGTCGATCATTCGATTTCATCCTGGACACTACAGAAAATGGGCTAAAAGTGTTAAAAACCGGAATCATCCTTTAAACAAGGGCAATATCACATAGTGTGTGTGAGAGAATGGTTTAACACATTTTAAAAGGCGTTTAACGTCTTAGGAGTTGCTTTTTAAGATATTGGAAACGCCTTTTTTTTTCAGATTTCTTTTTGGGCCCTTGCATCTGTTTCTTTTCATGATTTTGTAACTTTTAAAGCTGCGTTGAGGACTAAGGCCTTCGTACAAAAGTCACACGCTTAACCCCTTACACATGTGTCCTCTACTGCTAACAGGCAATTTTAGCATATTAGTCTTTAATGCTTAATGAAATCAGAATGTAGGCAGTTGAGGACCAAAAAAGAAAAGCGCAAGGCCACATAAACGCAGCTCAGATGGCATGATTAGTGTCTGAAAACCATGTTTTTTAAAATGAAGGCAAGAATCAAACAATAAAGTGACAGATAACCTAAAAGATTAGTCATCATATTGCTGATCAACCGCTGTGTGCCAACATGTCAGCTAATTTTTCTCTTTAGAATCCCCCTCTTGAGGCTAAACTGATACATTTTTGTCTGCCTAATTTCATTATTCAGTTCTTTTCAGTTTCATTATTTTATTCTGAAGGATTCATTATTTAAAGATGCTTTCCAAAGCAAAACAGGGTGGACGTAATGAACTGGACAAAAGACAGAATGCAGCCAGAGTATATAAACCAGCCTGAAGGGGCATCAATAAAGACTATTTCATAAAATATCAACAAAGTTTAACTCTGAAAGCCGGATCTATAGATTAAGACTTGGACAGACAAATTCAATGATCCTTATTTAGGATTTAGATATCTGAAAATTTAGATACATGCATAATTTAGACGTTTACTTTAGATGGATTTACAAATAATCAGTGTTGCCTAGCAACTAGAACCCTTATTTTTCTTGTGTGAAATCAGTTTTTTTTTTTTTTTTTTTGTTTGTGTGTCAAGATAGTAAAGTAGTAGAAATGAATACAGGAAATCTGATTTTAGTGGCTATTAAACCACATAAACATCCATCAATGTTGAAGCTCTATTCAACTGTATTGATTCCTTTCAACCATTATAAGCATCCATTTAGAGGACTGGTTTTGTGCTGCTAACTTAAGGGATTTATCCGGAATTCTAGGACCAAACAGGAAGGATGTGTGAAACCTTCTGTGATGCAGCTTCTGATATCAAGTTAGGAACAGAGATGTTCCTAGCCTAGTAAACCAGCCCCACCCGCCAGCGGCCAAAATCATTTTAGGTTGCGAGTTTAGTCTAGCCTCGATCAATGCCCCAAGCCCTAGAACTGGCATTGCTACGTCAGTCAGTTGCGCTCATTGGTCAGAGCGTTGGCCAATAGGCACACACAGCGGTTTGAAAAACATCGGGTTGTTCTCATCAACATTCTTCCGATGTCTCATTCATCGGGGCCAGACTGAATTACACATTTAATCTCACATTTAGGCTGTTTTAGGTTCAAGCTTCTAGGGATTTCAAAGGTTTGATGTTAACTGTTGTTTCTGCCGCTCACTGCGACAGGAAACGCTTTGATAAAATGTGGCGAGACGCAGAAGCAGATCGGCGGTGCCGAGCGGGAGTTCATCCAGAGTTCTGCCATCAACTTCCTGACGCCTTTTCGAAATTTTCTAGAGGGCGACTTTAAAACCATCCTGGTAAGTACAGCTGGTGTCAGTTGATTTTATAGTGAGTTTCACTTTGAGCTGTAACTTCAGTCGTTTTCCAGAACTTAACCCCATATTCGATAAGTTTGTGTGGGTTTCAGATAAACGGTGCATTGGTGACATCACACCTCTTAAGCTTTTAATCATTTCCACCTAAAGTTTGATCTGTAATGGACTGCTTATTAATCCATGGAGTTTATCACTGATGGTTTTTCTTTTTTTCTTTTTTGTTAGAAAGAAAGAAAGCTTCTACAAGTGAAACGTTTGGATCTAGATGCAGCCAAAACGAGGCTAAAGAAAGCCAGGATGCCTGATGCAAGAGCTGCAGTAAGTTCATGCGCTAAAATCCTTTTTCCTTTTACCAATTCTGTTTTTGCATCTCTTAATCCACATTTTAGTGACGCCTATCTCTTCACAACAGCGTGAAATGTATTTTTTCCTCTGAAGAAGTTATGACAAACACGAGTTGCACAACCTGAGCTGATTCTCTTTAGCTTTTCTGACTCGCATCCCGTCTTCTGAGGAACGATGGGAAGTTTCGAGTTCCCTTTTCTTGGAACGCTGGTTTTATTTTTATTCTTTGTCACGCCCAGCTTTTCTTTATTTTGAAGTGCTGCGTTCTTCAGTTCAGACTTTAATAGGTCACAGTTTTTCCTCAGTTTCTTAAAAAGTGCCTTAAAGTAAAATGTTGTAATCTGAGACTTTGAAAAACTCTCCTAACTTCTTGTATTGGAAATGTTACAGTTTTCCTTCATTGTCCTGATTTAAATGTGTTTATAAGAGGGCTGCAAAATACTGTGATAAATGTTTATTTAAAGTGGTTCTGTATCGTGGCTTTAAAGGGATAGTTCGGTATTTTTGACATGAATCTGTATGGCATCCCGATCACCAGCGGCATGCAATCACACTGACTTACCCCTGGCAGCGTCCTGTGAGCAGAGTTATCGTCCAGTTTTGGTCAAGCCGAAAGTAGTCCTGCAGGTTTTTAGGAACAGCGAAATAAAACTTTTCTCTTCCCAAAACATTATGTGTCCAAAAGAGCGATATTTTCGCATCCCAAAAACATTGTAGTGGAAAAAGTCACACGTCGTTATCAATTGGTCCTATTTTCTCTCTGTTCGTATCAGTGCGCGCCGTCATTCAGACAGCGAGCCCAACAACAGCCATGTCTCCCTCCGCCGCGGAAGGAGACATGGCTGTTGTTGGGCTCGCTGTCTGAATGACGGCGCGCACTGATACGAACAGAGAGAAAATAGGACCAATTGATAACGACGTGTGACTTTTTCCACTACAATGTTTTTGGGATGCGAAAATATCACTCTTTTGAACACATAATGTTTTGGGAAGAGAAACGTTTTATTTCGCTGTTCCTAAAAACCTGCAGGACTACTTTCGGCTTGACCAAAACTGGACGATAACTCTGCTCACAGGACGCTGCCAGGGGTAAGTCAGTGTGATTGCATGCCGCTGGTGATCGAGATGCCATACAGATTCATGTCAAAAATACCGAACTATCCCTTTAAGGTGTATATCCCAGTCAGGCATTGACATTTTTTGGAAATTTAATTAGATTTTTGTTTTGTTTTTTAAATTAATTTCATTTCAGAAGTAGGAATATTTTTGCTGATCTAAAAACAAAAAACAAAACATTTGTTGAGATGAAAAAACTAAAAAACCTTGTTTTCCTATATTCCTGAACTTATATAGACATAGCAACAATAAAAGAAACAAAGGAAATCTTATACCAGTTATTTATTTCTCAATAGAGGCTGAATTTTGCAGTTTTAATTAATCATTTTAGTGATTTTCTTTGTTTACATTTGTGATGAACCTCAGACCCTCCTGTATTCACATGTGTCCTTGCTGATTGAGCAGTAAAAGCTGATTTGATGTTATAACCAGTTCCTTTGGGATTATATCTCAATTATCTGCTCCACATGCAAATAAACAGGTGGCCACTTCACACAGTCAGCTCCTCGCTGTGCAAGAAACAGGCCATGAAGAGCTCTGTGGATTTTCTAGTAACAATTAGGCTGTATTATTGTGAAGCTATTAGCTACCGTTATTCGGTTGAGATCAACCATTTAGCCAACAAAAAGCAGCCGTATTTAAGTAGCATTATGGCCTAATGTGAGTGTAATGACAGTGATGGTAACACCTGATGTTTCTTGGTGTTTTGAGCCCGAGAGCTCTCTGACAGTCATGGTAATGATGATAACATGTGGGTTAAGCAGACCTGATATCCTTATCGCTGCTTTCAGTGATGGTGCTAAAGACAGACATCGTTCTGAGACAAAGAAACCACAACAGGTATGAGTTAGTTTCAAAAAGAATCAAACCAACCTCCTATCACAGAGGAGGAAAGCCTATTTATTTCTACCCAGTGTTTAAAACAATTGTTGACCAATGTACCACAGAAGGTAGAAATCTATTTTTAATGAGTAAAACAAAATAAAAGAGCAATAAAATAAAAGATCAAGAAGTATTGGATGAAGTTTGTCGACGGAGTAATAAAAGCTACTATGCTCACTTCTGGGAGATAAATCAGCTACATTAAAAGAGTCGAAAATGTGAAAGTGTGCAGACTTTTATATTTATTTACTTTTATTCATTTGTAAAACATTTAGAATAGTTGTAGAACTGTTATATACAGTTATAGAACCTTTCCTTAACTTGGAGAATTAATGAAAGGTTCATCGGTTCTGTCTTTTCCTTTTAGAGACTTAATTTGACCAGATGTTGCCAGTTTTTATCTTCCTGTGGCTCGAAGGAATTAATGTTTCAGATCCTTGCAATAAAATCGGAGTAAACACGTCTACTCATGTGAAAAGAAAAGTGACGGAGCTGAAAACCTGAGCTGTAACTATTACTTTCTGTGGGTTAACACCAACTCCTGGTTGTTTTCACTGCTTTGGTACGGTGGCAGTAGTGTTTAGCTGTATGAAAAGCAACAGCTGAGAACTATTGAACAGGCCGCATCATCACAGGCCTGCTAACCTCCTACAGAGTGCGGTTTTATCAAGGCGCCTCCGTACCAACGCAGAGTATGAGGATGTGCTGTGTTGGCTCCTGCCCTGCAGCAGCTGTAGCTCTAACCACTGTGTCACTGTTGTTGTTGTTGTTTTTGTTTTTTTTTACGCAAAGCCGCAGATGTGAGCAGAGGAAGTGACAGAGGTGAGTGGAATGTTGGAGCCATGTTTGATTTGAACACAGACGCTAAACCCCATGGCAGTTTGGTCAACAGCTGCTATCTCTCTGCATCTCCCCCACGCAACACACAGCCAGCCCCTTTGCAAAAGGATTTACCCATGAATGTTTTTCAGTATTACAATCACAAACTTGATTTGGTAGTACTGGAAAAATTCCTTGAGCCAATGAAAAATATTTTATTAAAAAAAAAATCATCATCCTACCTACTACTTTTAAACAATCCATCTTCCAGTGGTGGCAGCATCATGCTGTGGGAATGCTTGTTACAATTGTATGTCATTTGTTAGAGATTTGTATTGCTTAATAATAAAAGCAAATTTTCAGGAATCGGTTTAGTTTATACCTTTTATATTTTACTTTCTTTTAACTTGCACCTGAAACCTTAGAATAAGTTTATAAACAGCTCTGGTTACATTTCAAGCTGTGTAACATGGACAGTTTGTTTAAAGCTGAGGGGTTTGAAGTGTAGGTTTTATTTTATTTTTTAACAAAAAAGGTCTGCTGTGTAATGATGATGTTTCCTCCTCTTTAGGCGGAGCAGGAGCTGAGGATGACCCAGAGCGAGTTTGACCGACAAGCTGAGATCACGCGCCTCCTGCTAGAGGGCGTCAGCAGCACCCATGTATGTGACCTCACAGAAACATGGACAGCCTTGTTAACCCTGCTGGGTTTTAGCTGTTTCTCAATTATGACATGTTTGATATAAATAGAAATCCCTCTAATGTTTTTTTCCGGCTTTCTATTCATGCACACCTTCAGGCACATCACCTCCGCTGTTTGAATGACTTTGTGGAAGCTCAGACGACTTATTATGCACAGTGTTACCAGTACATGGTGGACCTCCAAAAGCAGCTCGGCAGGTGGAACAGATTCACTTTGAAAGTTTTTTTTGTTTTTGTTTTTAAGATTTAATGCATTAGCAGTCAATATGTTTGTTTTTTATTAGCTTGTCTTCATTATGAGTAACTGCTGATTTATTGCTGTAACTGTAGGTGTGTGGAGCTCATTCAGGAGCTGAGAGTTTAGGAATTAGGAGATAAGACTTAAGAGTCAGAAATGATTAAATAAATCATTAAACCAGACAGCAGATGTATGCATCTGGGAAGACAAACAGCCTCTAGTTTTGCATTCAGAGTCCCAGCAGCCTCCAGAATCATGTCTTCTCCCTCCCACCAGCTTCCCGTCCTCCTTCTCCAACAACAACCAGTCGTCCATGTCGGGCGGGGCCAGCATCTCGGTGCCAACCATATCGGTTTCTGCCTCTCTGCCCAGCGTCTCTGCAGGCCGCGCCAGCTCCTCAGCGTCAGGCGGATTCAGCGAGCTGCGGAGCTCCAACGGCAGCCGCAAGGCCAGAGTCCTTTACGACTATGACGCTGCCAGCAGCAATGAGCTCTCCCTGCTGGCTGACGAGGTGAACTTTCTTTTGTTTGTTTTTCCACACAGTATTGTTGTAAAAACTTGTTTTTACAGATTTCTTCCCTTGGCTCTTTCTTAGGCATCATTTCCACCAATATAAGCCTGTTACATCTTACTTTAAAGAATTAAAATGGTTCTGGGTCACAACTTTTTTAATGCAGAGTTGCACCATCTGTTTAAACCCCATGACGTCTGATAGCAGGACAGCAGAAGTTCATCTCCTTAGTAGAACATGTGCCACTCCCTTTTCTAGGGAAAGGGTGTAGTGCATATGTGACTTATCAGCAGTGAACCAACATTAAAAATCTTTTGCTTTCTGAATTTTTTCTTTCTTTTTTTATCTTTTGAAAGGCTTAAGATTTGGTTGGGTTCTGCAAAATCAATCAATTTGTAATCATTGACTAAATACTGTTGGACACGCTTTGATCTCAATGAGTCTTACCCTGGTTTAATAAAGGTTGATTATGATAAACTCTAGGTGTCCTACCATTCGGACATTTTTTCTTAATCTAAGGGTTAGCTTTCCTGCAAGAATAATCCAGCTTTCTAGACATTATATAAATTTTCACATCTGGAGGACCATTAGGAAAATATTAAATTGGGGGGGCTAAATTGGTTTGTGGGAATCTGCTTTTTCAGTTTAAAAAACAAATGAGGTTATTGTGCTGCCAGGTCAGGCTTTATATGTGTGTCGACTACTTAATAATTCTGAAAAGATTCATTTCTCTATGCTTATTTAATTTTTTTTGTCCAGGTCATCACAGTCAGCAGCGTCCCGGGCATGGATTCAGACTGGCTGATGGGGGAGCGAGGCAACCAGAAGGGCAAAGTGCCAATCACCTACCTGGAGTTGCTCAACTGAAGCACACCTTCTGCCATCCTGCACAACCAGCTATGATCCTGTATTTATGCCATTCTGCAGGGACAGGCTTCACTTTCTATCTCTTTTTTTATGTTTCTTTTGTTTAAAAAAAAAACAAACTAAAAAAAAAAAAAATCCAAAAAACATGGAGTCTTTAATGCTGCAGAGTGGAGCAAGAATGAATATAATTGAGTGACGGGTGAGCACATGGATGCTTTTTCCTCATTACTTTACAGTAAATTAGCTTTGATGCCTTTGAGTTTGACGCCATGCAAGCTGAAATATTTGGCAGAAGTCTTTGCAGTAACGTTTTAAGATTTTGTTTACAAAATACATCTCAGATGGTAACCTAAATGCCCCCCATCCTCCTGCTAATAAGTCTAAGGGTATATAAGGAGGACATCTCTTCAATAGAGAAAACAGCACTTCAGTGTGAAGCAGTTTGATGCTGGTTCTTTTAAGTCTTATTTTATAATTAATGATCTCATGGAGCAGTAACTATTTTTATTTCGACCGTATTCTTTTTGTTGTGCCACAGATGTATTTGCATGAAGCTTTAGTGAACTGTTGCTGTCCATTAGATGGCTCTAATTTTACTCTCCACATCTTCACCTTCAGTATTGAGCTTTCTAGCTCAGTCTTTAGATATTCAAAACAAATTTTCCAACCTTATTGGAAAGCATTTTTTTATGTCATGACCTATGGACTGCGCTTAAAAAAAATAAATTCTGCCATTATTCTGCGGGGAAAAAAACAGTAACTGATTTATCTGGTTTTGATCAGCTTGATGTTAAAGAAAATGCCTGCAGTTAAGATATTTTACCTCCTTGACACTTTACTAACTCATCTTGAGTTCCATCAACCTTGCATTTCACTTTTACATGAAAGACCTTCAAGAATTGTATTATGTTACATTTGAGGACATTTCAAGTTTATTATGACAAAATTCTGCTTTTGTATTTTGTGTACCCGATACAGTGGCTTGTGGTTGTAAAATAAATATAAAATGAGCTATTAAATTAGACATTTTGATATTATTGCTCAGTTTAAATGAAAACTATAGATTGAGTTGTACTTAGAGATGCAACCACTAGAGGGCAGGGAAGGAGAAATTAATAGTCTGAGAGAAACCAGCTGTGAAAATATCTTGGAATTAAAGATACCATTATTTAAAAAAAATCTTTTTATAATGCAAGAATTTTAAACACAATAGAAACTAAAAAGGTCTGTAGAATCAAGGCCCCCAAAAAACAATATTCAATTCAGTTTATTTACAGTATATAGCATAAGGGTGTGCAAAATAATCGTCAAATCGATGAATCGTGATTCTAATTTTTGTGATCTACTGAATCGATTCTTGAAGGCAAGAATCGATTATAAAAAAAAAAAAAAAAATGAACAAATAAAATACATGAATGGTTGGCGCACATCAATCAAACCAAGTGGAATACAACTTCCAGTCCAGCAGATGTCGCTGCGGATGTGTTGGCGCCTGCTGCTTTGTGTCATAAGCATGTCCGGACTGATTATCCTCATTTTGTTATTTTAAATTTGATGAATCCTAAGATCTTTTTGTTGGTGTGTCCATGCCAGTAATAGTAATATTTCTGTCCAGTATTTGTTTTCATGGCAACACCTCCAAAAGTAATTTCAATAAATACAGCTATGTATGAATTCAGTTGCTTTCAGTTATGTATCAATTGAAGACACGATCCAGATCACACCCAGCCAGTCAGCCACTGGTAAGGGCTGTATCTTTTTCTTACAGTGTTCAGTGAAAATATCACAATGCATCGCAATATTTCAAGTATCGTGATGCATCGTGATAGAATCGCATCGTGGCATGTGAATCGTGATTCGAATCGAATCGTGACTTCTTTGCCAATACCCACCCCTAATATAGCACCAATTCACAACACGTCATCTCAAGGCACTTTACAGTTCACCAGATCATACATTCAAATTGATTCAAAGATTTATATCTAAGGAAAACCAGTTGATTGCATCGAATCATTGACTCGAAGTAGATAAGTAGGTGTCACAACCTGAAAATAACAGCTTTTAACAGAAAGAGCACAGTGGTATAGAGGATCAACTATTCTACTGGAAAACAAGGAGGATCATTGAGTATAATCTCAAATACATCATCTAACACATGATCCCCTGCAGCAGGTGGTTCATCTATATCTCTACTCTTAGGTACCAAACTTAAAGCTGAGATGAGTTGAAGGTGGACTGGGTGGAATGGTTTGCTTCCAGTCCTGACCTCAAAACACCAGAACTCTGGTGAGATTCTTGTTTGAAACCAGAGGGAACAACACAACCACAGTGGCTAGTGAAGGCAATGCTAGTTAAAAAAACGGGATGTGTCGTCTCACATCAGTGTGCAGCCAAACTAGTGACTAGCACTGATCTCTATTTATTCACTGGATTGCAGATAGATCGAATAACTGAAATCACCTGTCGCCATCTTGGTACTCCCCACTTTCAGGAAGCACCATAAAAATGCCTGGAATGTGATGTAATTACCATAACAATGTAATCGGTACATTTATATTGCATGTACATCATCAATTTAGCACTTTTGGCTCACATAGTGTGTGTCCGTGTGTGTGTAATATTCTTAATGTCTGACTACAGTATTATTATTACACTAATTTAGTTGTGATGAATTTTTATTGTATGTTATATTACATGATTTATAGACTTCATGGACTGCCTGCTGCTTATACAATGTGAAGTGTCTATTGTTTACCAGAAATCACAGTAATCTGCTGATGCTGTGACACAGCAAGTGTGAGTCAAAGAGATGATTTTATCTTTATTTTAAAAGTTTTAAGCCCCACTGAAAATGAGAATTCCAACCAGTCTAAGTAGGGAGTACCAATATGGCGGCTGGTGACTTCACAGCACAGTGTACGACCAACGGCCTATCAGCTATCCAATGTATAAATAGAGCTCAGTGGTGACCAGCGTGAAGGTACCAGGCTGTTTTAGCGGCTCACGGTTCTCCAACACACCACTGAAGCGACTGCTTGCTGAAGAAATCAATGGTTAAAATGCAACTTTTTGCTGCTATTTCAAACCTTTCTTAGATTTTTTTTTTTTTTAAGATTTTCACAGTTTTTTCAAAACATTTGTTTTGAGCTCCTCCAGTTTAAGCGCTACGTTCAGTGCAAACAATCTGTTGTAAGAGCAGAAAGTATAAAGAGGAAGTGAGTTTAGCAAACTGCGTGTTGACTAATAAGCTGACTAATAAGCAGCTTATGCATCTGATAATATATAGGATCATGTTTCCATGGATAGGATCATGTTTCCATGTTCTAGATCATAACTGTATTGCAACCTTAGAGCCTCTCTCTTTTCACCTTTGACCTGTATAACCTATCTCTAGTTGGTATTTAGATCTTTAGGACCCAAAGATCTAAGTCTTGCACATTTCAATTAAATTCAGTATATAGTGCCAATTCACAACACATGATTCACCAGATCATACAGTCAGATTGATTCGTTTTCTAAGGAAAACCAGTTGACTGCATCAACTCGTTGACTCGAATGCAATCCCTCACACTAAGCATGCATGTAGCGACAGTGGAGAGGAAAAATTCCCTTTTAACAGGAAGAAACCTCCAGCAGAACCAGGCTGAGTGTGAGCGGCCATCTGCTGAGGCCGACTGGGGTTCAAGGTGACAGAAGCAGAGATACAAAAAGCAGCTGGAAACACACAGTCAGGCAGACGAGCTCCCAGCCAGCTCCCATGTCAGTGGATGAAGAGAGCATATCCAGCCAGTCACAGTCAGAGAAACAGGACTACACTGGTAAAACAGGCCGATCTCCAACATCTATAAACAAAGGTGTTGATAGCAGCAGCACAGCTGATATTTCTCTCCAGGATGGAGTCACAGCCAAACAGGAACCTTTTAAAGATAATCCATCCACCTCAGAGGCGTGCCATTTAAAATTGTTGATCATTGCACAGGTGTTGCCTTTGGCTGGAGGGTTCAGGAAACCAATCAGTTTCATTCTCTCACTTGGTCAGCTTGGTGGAATATGGGACCACTCTTTCAGGGGTTGTGTTAAGTTGCTGGATGCTGGCCGGAAATATGGGAAGTCAAACATATATGCAGATGTCCAGTAAATTGGCTGGCCATGCAAGAGCTATGACGTTTTCAGCTTCCAGGAATTGTGTACAGTTCCTTGCAATATGCAGTCAGGCAGGGTCAGACATGAGGTTATGGTCATGAATGAATGGCACAACAATGGTCCTCTGGATCTTGTCCCTGCATCTCGGCGCATTTCAAATGCCAGTAATAGAAAAGGAAAAAGGAAAGGAAATGTCTCTTTATTGTTTTACCATGTGGAAACCTGTCCTCTGGTCTAAATTGTTAGGAAACCCTCAGAGTTGCACCTTTGAACATTTTAGGATTAAGGTTTTCTCATGTACCCAGAGTGACAGTCTGAGTTTCAAACCAGCAATCTTGCAGGTTTTCCAAAAAAGCCAATGCCCTTTGCTATGACAAACAGGCCACCACTTCCCTTGAGGTGCAATAAAAAGCACCCGTTCCCAATCTAACATAAATTACAGCTGCTCCTTCCCTTAAGGAGTTTGATTCACAGCATTGCCAGCCACCCTGCATGGGTAAAACTGGGATTCATCCATAAAAAGAAGACCTTTCCAAAGTGACTGATACCATCAAATGTAAGCATTATTAGAGATTGACTAATAGGTTGTTTGGAAACTGATTGTAATAACGAATATTTTACAAATTTGTTTATTTTTCTCTGATTTGTGCTGCTGATATTTTGGGAAAAAATTAATGAAGCCAGTATTGCTTTTTCTTCCACCTTTTACATGATAAAAATGACACAATGTTAGCAAATGCTACATATTTATTTCATCATTTAGTATCAAATCTAACAAGACACTAACAATGGGTAGCAAATAGAGAGGGATCAAGAATCAAGAAATATTCTTTAAATAAGCAGGTAAATAAGATGATCTGCCAATGGAATGAGTTTATTACTTTTAAAATAAGATAATTATATTATATGCACTTGAAATTGTTCCAATAGCAAAGTGTCTTACTTACCTCCTTAAATGGAAAAAAAACTTATTTAAATTTCCTATTTTTACAATGTGGACATTCCTGCAGTCAACATGTCAACTGCACACCCCCTTAAAATTTGCAACATCTGCGGCATTGTGCTGCTTGATAAAGCTGCACATTTTCATAGGGCCTTTTTGTGACAATTATGCAATTTATTCTCCTTTATAGCACTAAAACAGCTATTATCATGTTAATTTTACAATATAAAATCCTACACAACTACAGTATCAGCCGTCCTTTTGACGGTTGAGTTAAATTGTCAGATTAAGAACATCAGATCTGATGCATAAGGAAATCATTTTGCACAGGAAGCTGCAGGGGTTGCATCCCCTCTCTACCTTTTGATTACCTAAGAACTAAACAACAACCAACGCTACACAAAAGAAGTAGCAGAACTGTTCATATTTGAACGGGGCTTGTGCTAAACATGGAGCGAGTGGGATCAGTATTAGCAGAATGGAATATTACTGATACCTAGAGACGGGTAGAGTACCCAAAAATGGGACTCAAGTGAGAGCAGCACTACTTCATCCTGTTTTTTACTTAAGTAAAAGTTAAAAGTAGCCTTTAAAAGAAATTACTCAAGTGTAAAAAAGTATTTGTCAAAAATGCTAATCAATTATTGAGTAACTTATCTACTTGCTACCCATTGTGATATCTCATTTAATATATTACAAAATTTTGTAAAATTAAACAATATATTAAGTGATATGCAAATTCTGTTTTTTCAAAGAATAAGATATAAATGAACAAACAGCATTTACCCAATAAAAATATTGGTGGAATTAATACTATTTAAGAATTTTTTTTTTTTTAGGTAAAGTGAAACTTTAAAAATCAATAGTTACTGTATTTAAGCATAGGTTAAATTTTAGTATACTGTTTACTGAGCTTTAAATCAACCTCCAAAT